TCGGCGAAGCACTCGGACCTCTGCGAGCGGCGGAATATATACGCCGACGAGAAGTCGTCACTGGAGTCCGAATTGGATAAGAATTTGGTTCAGAGGAAGAATGAATTGGAGATGACTTTAATCGACGCCCGCATTATGGAGAGCGAGACACTCGTCGAGAACGAGTCCTTTGACTTGGAATTGATTGACAAACGGATCGCTTCTTTCCGGCAACTGTTGGAGGAAAAGGACGCGAAGATCGATGAGTTGGTCAAACAGCAGACCGACCAGAAGGAGCTGTTGGACAAACTCAGGGCTGCCGAAGACAAACAGATGGATATCATTAACGTTGAGGCGAAGACATCGCGAAAGATAGCCATTAAATTGGAAACAATTGAGAAGAAGCATAACGAGTGTCTCAGAAAGTTGTCAAAAATGGGTATTTATTTCAAATTTTGGTATAAATTCAAAACTTATTTTTTGTGTATTTTTCACTTCATTTTTAGGCACAATTCCGAGCGATTGCGACAATAATTACCACAATATGAGTCTTAAGGACGAATACTTGGAGCTCCAGAAATGCAAACATAAGTTGTCGAAAATGCCGTCCGTTAATCAGAAAGCATTGGATCAGTTGACTGAAGGGCGAGAAAAGGGACGCATTTTGCAGTTGGAAAAGAGAGAAATCAAAGCCGGATATGAATCCATACAACGGCTGATCGAAACGCTCGAACACCAGAAGTACGAGAAGATTCAGGTGACCTATAAGTCGGTGTCCAAGTTCTTTGTCGAGATCTTCCAGCGTTTGGTACCCGAAGGCAAGGCTTTCATCGATATGGTCTATAAGGATAGCGCCGACAGCGGCTCTGCCGGCTCTCAAGCGAGTGGTTCTCATGCGAGTCAAGAATCGCAATCTTCGGGCGGTATTTCCGGCGCAGGTATTAATCGCTTAAATGTGTGCCAAAAATAAGATTAATTGTCATTGAATTGAGTGTTCATTTTCAGGCCTAACGCCGACATTCGCTCAAATCGATAACTTCATTGGTGTCCGCATACGAGTGGCCTTCACCGGCAAGACTGTGGTCAAGGAAATGAATCAGTTGTCCGGCGGCCAGAAGTCGATCGTGGCGTTGGCCTTCATATTCGCGATCCAACGCTGCGATCCGCCGCCCTTTTACCTCTTCGACGAAGTGGATCAGGCGTTGGATCCCTTTTATCGCAAAGCACTCGCCGGTAACTCTTTGGCGTTGAATAGTTTTTAGTAATGCTTTCAATGAATTGTCTTTAATATTGCGTTAGATTTGATAAAAGAGATGTCGAGATCGTCTCAATTCATATCAACCACATTCAGACCCGAACTGCTCGGAAGCGCTCAAAAGTTCTTTGGCGTCAAATTTGCGAAACGAGTAATGATTTTGGAAAATATTTGCGTAAAACTTATAAGTGATTGTAATATGAATTAACAGATCAGTCATATCGAGGAAATCAGTGTCGAAATGGCCAACGATTTTGTCGAATCGGACGATACGGCAGAAGAGAGCTCACGATTACAGAAGCAAAGGGGAGACACCAGAACCAGGAGAGACAGAAGTGTTCATTTCGATACCACTACTGTGACAGCTGTCGGCGCT